TTATAACACATTTCAAAAGGAAGAGATTCATTGTCTTTTCTCGTTTCTGACCATCTTGTTTGCCAACCATTCTATTACCTTTTTACATGCGAATGCTGAAAAATATTGTACTTCAGGGTAGGAATTGAATTGTTATACTCCTACATTTATAAAGTGATCACTCCCCGATTCGATGGGAAAATACAGAAAATCACACTTGCACCGGCTGTAATTAAAAACTTCAAGAAAGTCATTATGTGTTTGCATTTCTTACAAATCTTAGTGTCAAGTGTATTGTATGTGTTGATTACTCGCTTCCTGTAATAAATACTTGTGTTAGTATTATTATATTGAGCATATTCAGAATTTGTAAAGGAACTAACCTACTAAAATTGAATGGAGTTTGAAATTATTAAGAAAATTACGTTTTACGAACTAAAATAGCATAACGTAAATGTTATGGTAATCATAATAGTGTATGTCATGGTTAGAAAAAATTGAACACAAATGTGCAAACGGAGTCTTACTCGTAAAGTGGTAAATTGAATAATAAACAAATTTCTTAAAACAACACATCAGAATCAACAATATTTCCATTCACATTAAACAATGAACATGCAACCGTTAAAACAACATTCTGTATGTTTTATCATATCAGGAAATAGATATACGTCATGCAAAAACAATCTTATGAAATGACGTCACAGAAAGTCTTATAATACCATTGAAATAAATATGAAACTTCTAAATTATTATTATAATACTTATCTTCCATAGGATGTTCTCGTGATTGTAGCTGTAATAATTACGGATGTCGAAACTGCTATATATCCAGAAATCATTCTGAATATTTTGGCAAGATAATTTGAGGAATGCCGTGATCAAGCATTCTCCCGTTCGTGAACAGCAGGGGTGAGAAAATTATGTAAAGTCTATCTAAACTTTGCAAAGAACGAGAGATATTGACTTGGTGGTTTTTGTTATCGGAAACATCACATGGCTGCAACAACCTGTAGCATTATTTGCTTTGCTGTGTAATAATAATTACAGTGCAAACAGGGGTCGAGAACCAACAAGGCGTGGCAGGAACAGTAGGGGACCAAGAGTCACGGCCTACGGTTCCTCACTCCCCCACCCTCCCCCACCCTCCCCTATCCTCCCCCAACCATCCCCCACCATCCTGCACCTCCCCTCACCCTCCCTCGCCCCCAACCTCCCCCACCCTCCCCCACCCTCCCTCCCCCTCCCCCACCGTCCCCGCCCTCCCCCACCCTCCCTCGCCCTCAAACCCACCCTCCCTCGCCCCTCCCACCCTCCCTTCCGCCCTCCCCCACCCCTCCCCACCCTCCCCCTCGCCTTCCCTCCCCCTCCCGCCACCCTCCCTCGCCTTCCACCACCCTCCCTCGCCCTCCCCCACCCTCCCTCCCCTCTGCTCGCCCCTCCTCACCCTCGCCTCAACCTCCCTCACCCTCCATCACCCTTCCTCACCCTCCTCACCCTTCCCTCACCCTTTCCTCACCCTCCCTCACCCCCTCACCCTCCCTCACCTCCCTCCACCCTCCCCTCTCCCTTCCCTCTCCCTACCTCTCCCTACCTCTCCCTACTCTCCCTACCTCTCCCTACCTCTCACCTACTCTCCCTACCTCACCCTACGTACCCTACCTCACCCTACCTCACCCTACTCTCACCCTACCTCACCCACCTCACCCTACCTCACCTACCTCACCCTCCTTTCTACCCTCATCCTATTCTCAAGATTTCTAATTCCCCCCAAACCGCGGAGGTAGCCTTCTTCTGTAAGCCAAAGCACGGCTCCGGGTCGTATCCAGATTGCTAGGAATGTCTGCAAATAATCAGTTGCTATAAAAAATTCAAACTATGTTCTCACATACGAAAAGTATTATTTATATATATATACTCTCTCTCTCTCCCTTTCTGTGGTGTGTCTCTCGTGTCTCTTCTCTCCCTCTGTCTCTCTCTGTATCTCTCTCTGTGTCTCTCTCTGTCTGTGTGTCTCCTCACTGTCTGTCACTCAGTACAAACAGAGTATATTTTTTTTAAAACAGGTCACATTAGCAATTGGTAAAACCGTACCATAAAAAAAAATATAATATTAAATTATATCCTAATGCTAAGGAAAGCGAAATTTAAATGCTTGTCTTTCCGAAAGTTTGAATAGGCAGAAAAAGATCTTCTACGTTCCTCTGACATCAGTTGAAATCCATCCTAACACCTTTTTGGGCAATCTCCTTCTAGTAAAAAATCATCAGCACTTATAATCTTTAAAATGTCTGGAAATTGTGGCCAAACATTGTTCCAATTTCTGAATAGCAAATCCTTCTATACTCTTGTTTGCTTCTGTGAAAAATCGCCAACAATTCAACTACACGCAGTGCCCTTCTGTATTAGTATTACAAAGAAATTTGAAGGAGTCAACACACAAGGAACTTTTTTCCAAAAAATTGTATTGTGCAAAAGTTTTTTCAGCTTTGATCGATATTCGTATATGTTACTGACAAAAGTATTATTTTTTGAGTTTTCAACATTTAAAACACAATGATTTATCCATGTTCCCCAGCGAGTCACGTCGGGATTGATGCGTAGTAAACAAGATCGATAGTGCTTTCTTTTATGCTACGAAAACATTTGAAGTACTTTCTTTGCCAACAATATGTGAATGCAATAGCGACGTTTTATTTTTTTACGTAACTACTTGTGATTAACTCTATGCAGTTCAATTCAACTCTATGCAGTGGCGATGGGTTTTGGATTTGTTGAAACATTCTCGACTTTACCGATGAGGCATATGCTATAGAGCACTCTTTAATTAAATGCATTGCATGAGAAAACATATTTGCCAAAATAAGTGCTCAAATGTTAGACTTAAAAAGCAACGATACTAAATTCATTCAGTGGTGTTAATGGTGTTAGTTTTAAAAGCACCTCTGACAATGGTAAAATATCCGTAAAAAAGCTTGTCGCGATAAACTTTGGTTAATGAGCGAGTTTCGATGAACTAAAGATCCGTAATTTTAAAGCATATTCATGTTTATGTTTAAAAAAACGCTTGAAACTTTAGGTAAAAATTTTTAGTTAAATATATATTATATATATATATATAAAATATATATAGTTATATGTACTGATATATATGTAGTTATATGTATGTAATATATGTATGTATATATGTATGTATGTATGTATATATATATGATGTATGTAGTTATATATACTATGTATGTATATATGTAGTATATATGTATATTATATTTCATATATATATACATATATATCTATTATATACATATATATAATATACATGTAGGTTAATGATTAGCTAAATTTGTTTCCCTGTAAAAAGAGTGGAGTTTTATTCATTTTTTATGAACTATCACTTACATTATCATTACAAAACTATTCAACATAAACATTTGCTCTACCTCGTAAAACAGAGAAACGACAATTAAAGCTAACTAACCGCTTCTCTGTTTACACCACTTACATTAATTACATTGTATCTTTCCTAAAAATTCCTTCAAGCTATATTCATTCGTATTTAAATATCTTCCAACAATCGTACCACTCATTCCATCTAGCGGACCTTAGTCTCAACCACGCGCAACGACTCTTAAACACGCGCCAAGGGTGGGAAGCACGACATGTTCAAAATAAAGAAAATATATTTTTCCTTTACGTATATATTCAACTTTTATTCTTAGTCCAGCACGTTTCAACGAAGTTGATAGTCATCTTAAAGCACAAGTATTGTTATTTCTTTCAAAAATACACAATATTCACAATTTGTGGTAATGAGTGACAATGGGTCTCCTTTTCTTTTGTTCTTCTGAGGTTAGGAAATAGAGGCAGGGTACTTTTGAGCAAAGTGTAGCAAAAGAAGTGCATGACTTGCACAAATATTGTTTGAATTAATACAATGTGCACAATATGTATTCATGTAATGTGCATATTCAAAATAAGATTTTTTGCGAAGGTTGAGAAATAGAGGAGAAATATGGGCATAAGGTCTATTTAGGCGCAATGGGGTAATTTAGATGCAAATTAGGTGAAAGGCAAGTCTCTGATAAGCTCTCTTTTGGGTTTCATAACATGTTAGAAGTAAAAAATGAAAACTCCAATGAGCGTTGTCTCTAGGGGCATCACCTAATAATACAGTCCATGATGATGATGATGACGACGACGACGATGATGTGATGAGTAATGTTGCTAAAAGTAGTGTTGGAGATGAATTAAAAGGCAGAGGAGACAGCAGATTCCCAATAAAACCAGCTGCAAACACTATTTTCGTACTACAAATTCCACGTGTGAAGTTGCCAGGATTTAATGTCCAGTAGCGCAATGGGAGAACGAGCACTCCTGAGGGCCACGTTGAGGCCTCTTTAGACAGTTATCTTAATGGAAGACACAATAACCGTATTCCCCTTTAACTGTCGCTGACAATGAATGTTTTGCAGACGTTCAAGTCTTTGATTCATAATCTAAAGCGATAGTTGCGGCGCATTTTAATTTTTAGCAAATAAAAATAAAAAGGTAAATTCATTTTTTAACAGATTCGCGAGGAAGTGCATCAATATTAAGGTGATGACAAGATGAATATAATAAGGTTCACTATTCAGCATTGTGATTGAGAAACCATTCACAACAAAATATTAAACTTTTTCAAAATAATTTTAATGCATGACGATGGTTATAATTGCTCTTCTTTGTGTCATCATTTGAACGTCATGGAATAAAAGAATCTAAAAAATTAAATATCATAACAGAACGATAAGGGTTGGAATTTTGTAACCTGAGCTACAGACGCGGTGCTTCAGGTCGTGTCTTGCTGATTACCTTGTTAGGCTGCTGCAAACGCACATGTGAAAAGTATTTAAAAACTCGTACTGCGTTGCCTCAAATGTTGCAATTAAGAGTATAGAAAGTGTTTGAGAACAAATAATCAAGGATCAATTGAATCTCTTTTCCCTTCAGAATCTTCGTCAAGATGAAAATGTTTTTTTAATATGCTTGATAATGGTAACGAGTGCAAATCTCGCAATATTTACACTGAAGGTGAATGAATGTAATGAAGAGTATCAATGGATGTAAAACAAATTATGTTACAATTTATGCAAAATACGCTTTCTATTAGAATCTGTTTTTCGTTTACCTTGTATCCATCCCAAACTGCACCCAAATATCATTTATTCAGTTATGAAGATTTCGTGTGCACATAATGTGGAAGAAACCCTGTATGTAGGCTAATAAAACTTACTTACACTCGACAAATTTCTTTACGCACACGAATAATTATTTTATTACTTTTCTTCCTCTTTCCTTTTTCAATGCAATTAATATCTGACAAAATAAAATTCAGCAGTGAGTTGTCAGCAGAATAGCGCAGATGCGTGTGTAAGCTCCGTAGCAAGTTAGACGAGGGGCCAGGAAGGGCGGAGTGTAACAAGTCGAGTTTAGGATTTTTGTCCTTGTATTCCCCAATAATGTTAATAGTATATAAACTGCAATTATGTTTTCAGCTGAACGAACAGCAAGTGTTAATCGAGGAATAATATTTCTAATGGCTTCAATATTACTACAAATGATATTAGAATTGGAATGGTTCCTTGAAGACCCACATGACTAAATAAGTTAGTGTTATTATTGTATGAATTGGCTCAGTATATAATAATCCGAGTGGGTCCAGTGATAACAGTGACCGTTGAGTGGCTTTCGCTGAGAGCGTGTGCTTGGTGTTGCAGGGGCTGCGGCGGCATCCCGCCTGTACGTGGAGGCCATCGGAAAGCTGGCGCGCCAGGCGCAGCAGGGCGCTTGGGGCAGCTCCTCCGACATCGGTAGGCGCTCCTCCCTTCCCCTCCTCTTTCATTCTCTCCTACCCTCTCGTTCTTGCCCGCTTCACTCTACTCCTCCCTCCCGTCAACCCTTTCCATTCCTTCCTATCTCCTCCTTTTCCTTCCCTTCCCTTTCCTCTTCCTTCTCGTCCATTTCTCTTCCATTCTACGCTTCCCCCACCAACCTCGCCAATGTTTCTCTTCCTCACATTCTCGCCAAAGAGACATCCCAACGTTCACAGCTTTTTTCCGTCTCTTTTTTCCTTCCACCCATCCTACTTTCCATTATATATTTCTGCCTCTCCGTGACTTACATTTTCAATTCCCATCCTTTCGGTTCCGCTAGATCCCTTGTCACTGCTTCAACCTGATCTCGTACTCTCTCCACCCGTACCCTGCCCTTTTATGTAGACCACGGTATCTGAAGCTTATTATAACTTACTTTATTTCAAAATATAAGCTGCAAAAGCACTGTAATTATAAAATATTTTCCACTGTAACCAAAAATAATGAAAAAACATCTTTTATTGATTTTTTTAGTTGTATTTATACCTTTTATAGGTATATTTTATGTTGTATTTATTTCTTTTATAAAATTAGAATTGATTGCGCTGTTTTGTAACACAGTGCTAGCGCATATTGAAATATGTTCGTAAAATCCTCTTTGATTTATCAAATAATTAAAGCTATGCACTAATGACTACAAGGGCCTCAAAACGAGAGTCATATTTGTTTGTCATTTCATAAATAATAAATGATATTTTATAACTTTGAAGTTTGTTAGAGTATTTCGTTCCTTCTTTATTTCACCCATGTCTACTAAAACAAGAAAAATGAATATCTCTTCTTGCCACATACAAGAAACATTAAAATAATTTCACATTACAGGAATTATTTTGTTTTACTCGTCATTTGTTAAAAATTACTGAAGCAATTTTATTCTGTCTGTAATTGTTCATAATTTCTATGAACATCAGAATGGTAATTCTAATTTCATTTCTGATTTTCTTGAGTTGCTAATGCGTTTCATCTCGTTCTTCGCAGGTTCAGCGCTAGCGCAAGTGGTCGAAGTGTACAAGGAAATCCAAAATCAACAAATGAATATTGTAAGACCTTTCAACGATTGCGTTTTTGATGGTTGATACTTAATTTTTGCAGCATATGCAAAGAAAGCTGAATTCAACTACTCTAAGAAGACATATCAGATGGAAAATGATGTCATATTTTTCAATAGTATTTTTTACATCAATACATATAACACGTGAATTATGTTCTCAAACATTTAATAAAATTTCAATTAAATATCTGTAATGTTCGCCCAGAATTTATTGCAGTCAGTACGGTTGTCTCTTATTTTTTTATTTATATTTTAATCTACGGCGACATTAGGTTTGCTTTCATTTGTAATATTCAATTTTTGACATTTTGTAAAAATTTGTAAAAGTAGCATAGAAATGTATAATGATATAATTCGTATATTAATATTTCTGAAAATCTTCTTTGAGTTTAGAACCAAAATCCTTCGCACAAATATTTCTCAATTTGTGGTTAAGTTTCATTGTTATACATACAGTATGTTAAATATATTAATATTGGTAATAATGAATGAATATTAATTGAGATTGTTGTTGTTAAGAAGCCTTGCGGTGGGCGATGTCTCTTTTTCAGCTAAAAGCATTTTATGTGGATCTTCTCGTACCTCTGGAAACGAATCTAGAAAAGGACACTAAAGTCGTTCAGGTATGTACGATTTTCTTTTAGTAATTCGTATATTTTTCACAAACATCAATGTCTATTGTGATATTTCAGATTTCATCTTTATTTTTATTTTTTTATGTAGACTATTATGAAGATTATTGAATCTGTTGAAAAGTTACAGTTCGCCGTAAGTTGTTAAAAATCTAAATTTTCAAAATAAAAAAAACACCTTTTCTGTACGTTCTTAATATAAAGTTGTAATATTTTAGTTCTAGTCCGCATGGCTAGCTGTTAGCTTGCTCGTTCTCCACTACGCAGCCCCAGGTTCGGTTCCCGGTGAGGCAAGATTATAGTGTGCGTTTTCCTTGCAATGTCCCAGTAGATATTGCTGTGTGACGATGAGAAAATTCACTTAAGTTGAGAAGATCGGGATGTGGAGTGGGGATGTCTACGTGCAACCCATACATAGACCCATGGCCGCGAGACAGAAGTGTCGCTGGTAGGCCTGAGCCCGTTCACGGGCTGTAGCACCAAGTACTTACATACATACACAGAACTAAATTATTGTAATAGTGAGTTGATAAATTATAAATGAGAACAAAATACGAAAGGATGTTTTTCTGTCGTCGGTAAAATTTAATTTAGCGCTTAGTTTTTTTTCATGTTCCTAGATTAATTATTTATTTGAAAATGGAAGACATAGTTCACGTAGTAATAATACGTTGTGTAGGCGTATGTATACCTTCTTTTAAGAAATATTCAGCCACGAAGATGACAATGATTATTTCTCACTACCATTTTCGTAATAATTCTTTGCAATGTGCCTTCCTCCGAGATGTCACGAGAGAAATGATCCCAATTGGGGCAATCAGCTCTTGTTATTTGGCCCGGGATGTATCAAGTTTGAACACCTCTATACTTCATATTTTGCACTACACACAAGAATGTATTATGTAGAGCGATACAACTAAACATATTCAGCGATTAATGCGTAGGGAGTTGCGTTATATTTGTTCGCAGCTATGATGTACTCGTACGTGTTTATTCGCTACTGCGATGCTTAAGCTGAGTGTCCCAGACAAAAAATAGCGCAGTCTGTTATCGTTCTTTGAGGAAGTCTTATCCAATTGGTTTCCCGTCGAAAATATACGTTTCCGAGAAGTATTTTTATTGGTTGCTTTTGTGCGCGAAATTCAAATAGTGTACGCTTCATCGCACAGAAAACGCATCGCATCAGCGGTGCATTTAGTGATAGAGAAGACCGGTGAAATCGGTAGCGATTTAGCACGATAGCCACGTTCATGGGGGGAGGGAGAAACTGCACGACTCGCAGTTAAATTGTGACGCCGCGCCTGAACTTATCGCGCCAATCCCAACCCTCTCCTCTATCATGCGGCGCAGCGCAGAACAGAATATTGGAAGTTCCAGGAAGGAGACAAGAAGCAGTGGGTTCTAGAAAACGAAAGATTTCGGCGCGAAGCAGATTGCATGAAACATCTTTAAATAACGATAAAATTCTAGACGGTTTTATTGTCGTTGGTAATGCAAGAAGTGAACTTTAATGAGACTATTCCATGAAAAAAATGAGTATATTTATAATTAATTATGTGAAATAAATGTAAGTTACATATAACAATTTCTGCAGCTGATTAAAGCATTCTTCGTCTATTCTGGTGGACACTGTGTTGTTTACACTGTGAAAAACAACTGTACGTCGAAGTGATAAAACCATACCTTTGTTTTCCCGTGCAGTTATTTCGTCTCTTCACTGGTTCACAGAGGAAGGATTCTTAAACCTTCTTGGTCTAAATTTCACGAATGTAATAGTCAGTATAAAAGAAAATCCTCTTCGTATTTTTTTTTTGTTTTTTTTTGTTTTTGTTTTCAATGCCCCGCGCCTTACACTTCGGGCAAGGTGATTGCTAGGTCCAAGGTTCTGATACGTGGTGTGTATTGCAGAGCGAGCAGAAACGCTTCCTGCAGCAGCACAAACAGCGATCGGAGACATACAGCAAGGCGGCCGCCACTATGAAGAAGCAACGCAAGAAGAACAAGGCTTCTACCAAGGCCGCCCTCGCCATCGACAAAGAGCTCAAGGTAGTACCCGACTTCAGGGATGTTTAAAGGGGATGGCACCCAGTAGAATAAAGAACTCCTAAAAGGGTAGGATGATGGAAACCCGGGTCAACTCTAAATTTATATTTTGTGGTCAGTATATAAGTCTAAAAAGTTGTAACTCAAATATAGAACTCAGAATTAGCATCGTGACAGTGTTAACACTCTTATCTCGGAATTGCGTATTGAAGAAGATAAATTCGTTCGAAGATGCCGAATCTCCACTGGTACTGGTACAGTGAAGTTGTTTCGTTATGGGTTGCTAATATAAACAATTACATTATGAACAGTCGAGAAATAAATACAGTAGAATTGAATTTGTTGTGAAGCACCCTATCTAATCTCACAGTATAAAGTATCTGAACACTATAACACAGATATCAACTATCACATCAGTAAATATATTGCAGTAATACATTATAGAAACACACACTGCGATACACACATTTAAGTAACGTGGTTGCTTCAATTTTTCCCAGAAGTACATAGTATTGAGGTATGCATGTATTTCCATGAGGTTTAAGTTTTAGAAGTAAATGAGTAGTCGGAGATTAGAATTCTAGTGAATTAGCAAAGGGGTGTGTTACTTGGTTGCGATAAATATTCATGTTTCAGGTTATTTTTTAAAAAAGTATTTCTAGAATACGTATAACTATGGATTTTTTCGAATAAATGCATATTAATGGATTCTGCATTTCTTGAGTTTTACGCAATAAGTTATATAGCTATACGCACACTCGTACATAATAGCATTCCATTATTTTGTGTTGTAGAATATGCAGGTTCTTGAGGAAGAGAAAACTAAGTTGGACGTTTTCTGTGAACAGAGTTTAAAGACGGTGAGTAAATTATATTGTTAATAACATTTGAAATTAGACAATATATTCTTTTTTCAAAATGCATGATTGCCCTTCTATTTTGCTTCATTTTCCATTCTCATTTGACTCTTATTGGGTAACCAATTACTTGAAATATTTTCTTTACAGAGAGTAGATACTTATTCTCCTCACTAATCTTCAAATGTCTTTAAATATCCAAATGATTGCATTTGAAGTAAAATATCCTTTAGGTATTCGTCTGAAAAGTGTTGTTTGTAGTACGGGGTGTAAATATGTGTGGCGTCTTATTGAATGTATGTGGCACACTTTGTGTTATATTTTTAATTTTCATTTTTAAATAATACATTAACTTTTCTGTACAAATGAAGAATTTATAAAAATTCAGAATTCAATAAAAAGTATTTTACAATCATATCTAGATAAGTCAATGTGTGAGTTTATGAATTATCCAGTATCAAACTTTACCCACATAATCAGTCGATATAATAATTGACAGCAATAGTAACTTAGAGAAGTGTTATGTAGAAAAAAATAATGAAATAGAGCAGTTAAAACTAAATATTCATTCATTGTCATTGTTTTCTTTGCACTGTACCCGTTCTTCATTTCCTGTCCCTTCTTTGGTAGTGAATGTGGCAATAAAGAGAGAAGTATATAAGTGCTAATGGAAGCCGCGTCTTGCCTTAGGCAATGACGCAGGAGCGGCGGCGCTACGGCTTCGTGCTGGAGCGGCAGTGCTCGCTGGCCAAGCACTGCCTGGCGTTCCACTCACTGGGAGGCGCGGCGCTGCAGCGTAGCCTGGACGTGTGGCAGGAGGTGGCGGCGACGCGCGAGGTGCTGCCCCACGCCGTCGAGGGCGCGCTCGTCACGCGCCTGCGGGTGAGGCACGCACCTCCCCTCTGCCCCTCCCCCTCCGAGCCATTCACGGGAAACACATTTGGATTGGTTACTTGTTTCTTTCGGGCGCGTCAACTCTTACGGCCATAGTCCCGTGAGTGTTGTGCATGTTTTTTATCACCGGAGGTGGCGCGTTCTTCCCCAGCTGGATGATGAGATTGAGCGCTGACCTACACAACAGATTTCGGGTGTATCCGACCAGGAACCTCCCATCAGCGGGCTACCATCACACCCCGACAAGCTACAAGAGCTCCCCAATGTTTTCCCGACATGTGTAATTATATACTGCATGTAATTATGTGTGAAAGTAAGGGGTGGGGATAGAACAAAAAAGGACAAATCACTCGTAGTCCGTGACCCGATTGTTTGCGTTATGCTCGGATATTCCCCTGGTTTTCATCGGAGAAACCTCGAGAAACTAGCGATCAGAGCTGCGGTCTGCTAAAATCCTCCTCGAGACAGCGGCTGAGTGCGACCTAGCTCGTGTGGAATAACCTGCCACAGTCGGGTTCGAATCCTAGGACCTCCTGCAGAGGCATTGCAATAACATCAATCAATACCCTGAGCCACCACAACCGGTGAAACGTGTCGAGAGGTTTTATGAAGCAATGTGGGCTTTCAAGGCCGATATTAGGAGGGTTTCGGGGCAGTGGGTCATAGACTAATTAATGAGAAAGATGTTTCGTTCACGCCTGCTGTTGATATTAGTAGCGGTGGCCCAATCACTGGCACTGATTGGTGGCTCTAATATCTACTGTAAGTGTAAACCAAACAAGATTTTTTCATTATAACACTGATTATTGGCCTAGAAAACAACGCGCGTAGTTATAAAGATTTTTTAATTTTTTTAAAATGGCTCTATTATTTTTGATTATTTTTTTGTTAAAAATTGTGAAGGACGTTTAAGAGAATGGTGCAGGTCTCATGTCCGTTGCAAAACATGATTTTTTTAATTGCAAAAGTTCAAAATTTAAGTCTTCCTACAACTAAAATAAAGATAGAGGTTTTTCTCTTAATAGAGGTTGTTCCTCAAAGATAGATTTTAAAATAAGGTCATGAACAATTGTTCGGAAATTTTAGTACTTTTCGCGTAATTTTGCGTGACAATAAGGGCGACAAAGTACGTGCTGTTTTAAAACTACTAGTTACTAGAAAGTTTCCTGAAAAGTTAAAAATAATAGATATTGAAAAAATTTGGGGAGGGAAATTTCCCTCAACCCTCCCCTCTCCCTGCGTGGATCTGCGCCTGTCTAAGTTGAGAGTTTTGCCGCCGACGGAAAGCGACTTGTACATACAACACAATACGGATAGATAATGAACGACTGTAAAGGCATTAAAAGTATTCTTTTCATCTACCCTCCACTTAAGCTACTGCCACACATGATCTTTAGTGATACAATGTAATGTTTGGTGGGTAATATTTTGGTGAACCGAAATAGATGAATATTATTATTAATATAACAGCAGCAAATATGTTTGCACATTAATATCATCGTAAACATTTTGTGTTATTCTCCCATTAGTTTCAGAGCTGATAATTTTAGATGTCAATGATCTATGTAAGCGAGTAAATAAATAGAATCAGGCAAACACATTATGAGCAAAACTCTTCAGCCACTAGTATTCGACAAGTCTCGTTCAGGCACAGCAAAGGGTGCGTAAGAAGTTGCCTAACAACCAACGATCAACGTCCCATTCCTAATTTCGTAATATGAAATTTCCAACCACATGTTAGTAGGTGGAAAGTGGTAAGCCTAAACCCTTCTACATGCCGTAGAAGTTTGTAAATTTTATTCTGAGACTTCCTGTATAAAGCAGATCTTCATTCCAATAATGTTGGACGACCCTTGTCTGATGTCTCAGCCTTCCTCGCGCATTGTTCCAGGAAAAGAGTGGTTATCTTTAGGCCTAGAAGTTTGTAACTTTTATTTATAGGCTTCCTGTATAAACGAAGTCTTGATTACAACGACGTTTAAAATAGCGTTCTTTGTTTGTCGTATCGCCCGTCCCCAGGCGTTGTTCAAGGAAAAAGTGGTAATGTTCAATCCTTCTTCATGCTCTAGAAGTTCGTAACATTTGTTTAGATGCTTCCTTTACAAACCATGTCGTGATTCCAATGACGTTGTAAGTGAGCAATCCCTGTGTTGCAGCACGTGAGCTTCTGGGGCGAAGAGGACCCGTATGCGCGGCCGCGCAGCCTCGATGGCGACGGCGGTGGCGAGGCGGGCGAGGCGGGCGACTTGGGCGACGGGGCCGAGGGCGACGCGGCGGAAATGCTGTCGCTGGCGTCGCAGCTGCGCAAGACGCGCTCCATGGACGCCTCGTGCCTGGACGTGCGCTGCATGGATTGCCGGCCGGCGGCGCCGCCGCCGCCGGGCCCCGGGCCGCCGCCCCGTCCGCTGGCGCGCGCCAAGTCAGACTTCAACCTCGCCGCCTCAACGCACTCGCTCACGCGCGGTGAGTCGCCCCTGCCTAAAACACTTCGTCGGAAATATTAGTCATTTTCGTTACACGGCAACAAAGTAGATCTTTCCATGACTACAGAGAGTTCCCGGACGAGGCCATCGGCCGAGTCTAGGATTCCCGACGTTCCATTTCAGTTTTTCGGAGTGGTATAAAATATTTATTCGAGACCTCAATTTTACAACTTGTCCGTGTGGTAAATAAATTTAATTGACGATCACGAGCTCACTCTACGTGTTTCTCCGTCAGTTGGTATGTATTGTTTTGTATTTTAATTGCTTTACTTACAGTACTAGAACAGATAGTACTTTCTGTACATTTCCAACTGTGTTGAAAAATTTCAATTTTTATGTCCAAATACTGTGCAAGTATGCGTCACTCTAGAAGTCCTTGAAGAAAATAAATTAACTTATAGGTAATAGGAAGTGGTGTACTATAAGTTTTGATTTTATAAAAAATGTGACAGAGACTCATCATATGGTGTTGTTGAAGTAGAAAGCTTCCTCGACCGCATTATGACCACTCCAGTGAAATCGTATGCTAGCGGCCGTCAGGTAGGAGGAGAAATCTAGTTTAACGCACCCGAAAAATTTATTTGATTCAGTAAAGTCACATGATAAGACCTGATGATTATAATCATGAATAAATTCACATATTTCTAATAATTTCATTAAATTTATTATTATTCCTAATTATCTTTCTGATCAGCCTTTTTTGTCATTTTAAAGCACAGCACATTTTGGTGAAATTTGTGATAAGTATCATGTGATAAAATGTGAATGTCATCTTTGTTTAAAAATACTTTTCTCGATAAAATAATTAACTTTTATATCGTATTTTGTGCTTTTAAAAAGAATGAAGATATTCATGAATTTGAAAATGAACTACAAATTATTCCAGAAATAAAGCCACATTATGCTTTACTTAATTCATTTGTTTGTCGTTTTAATATACATTTGCTTTATTTCAGATTTATTTTTAGATTATTTCTAAAATATTTTCTGAAAAATGTTTGTCCACGTAACCTATTTTATCGGATCATTCTATACAATGACATAAAACAAAAATTTAGAAAACCCAGCCAAAAACGTATCATACAAATAAGATTTAAGTCTAAAAATACAAAGACTATATACCATGTCGCCCACCTAAGATGTTCCCTTCAATTTTCTCCTGAACCGTTGCAAATACTGAGATGCGGATTTCACTAAACTACTATCCGCAAGGGACACATATGGACATGCATAATATTATTCTATTGCATTTTTTATTGCAGAGATATTGACCCAACTTCGATTTTTTAAATGGAACCTTATAGATTTTTTTAGCTCTTCATAACAAGCGTGAAGAGACGAATTATGCATATCGCCCTATGTTACATAACAAAATTTTCGAGAAATTAAGAGTTTTGTGAGAAGTGCTTCCTGAATCCAACGCTGTACCAATCTGCTGAATCGGCTAAATAGGCGCGTCGTAAAGTGAAATTTGGCAAAATACAATGCCCCCCTCCCCATGTCGCGGCACCACCACCCACGCGTGGGGCGCCGGCTCCTAGGAGGGCACTGAAGCATTCCGTAAGAGGTAGGATGAGCGGGCTGGGAGCGAGACAGGCAAGCAGGCGGTTATCTTGTGGCCCATCTGGGCTTTATCAGATAATGCTCTCGCCTTTTCCGCACCACATTAGTTTTACATTCTCGTATACGTACGTATGTACCGAGTAATGTATGTAGTATAGATAAAGTTATGTATTGTTGCGGAAAATCAATTTCGAGATTTACGAAATTCATGTTTTTGGGCCTCCTGATTCCGAAAAAGTGTTGTTTTTTTTCTTTTCTTTTTAAAACGTCCTCGGTTTGTCCGTTTGTGAACAACACTAGGGCCGAAACTACAAGTGTTCCTGGAATGTTATTGAAAATTAATATTCACTGGTGGATCTGGCATATCTCAAAGCTTTACGAGGTCGAAATAAATGTTTAAAATTTGGGAATACTTTAGATGAAGCCCCTGGGACATGTTTTATATTTTCTCAAAAAATGGCTTCAAATTTTTTCTTCAAACACGTTGTAAGAATATATTGAAATATTTTTCTCAAAATGGCGTACGTCCGATGTTTACTGTTAACTTTGATTTTTTTTAAGGTTATCTAAGTTTGAATTTTTCTCGGCGTCTCCTCACAACAATATTGAAGGCAGACTTTTTCTTCAAATGAAATCTGTTCTCTCTAATTAATACTTACATTGATGTCAGGCACATTTCTTGGAAAAGTTTATTAATTTTCGTGTAATACGAAGGTTGCCTTTTATATTTCGGGATTTGGCAACCCTGGTGTTGCAATCTAGCAACTGACAGCTCTATTGTAAAGTTGGATGTTTTGAGGTTATACGTACTCAGAACATTTTGACATACGAGCGCTATTTGTTTTTACAGTAACTTAAAAGATTTATCTTGGCCCAAAAATGGAATTAATTCGTGAACATTTTCTTTCGATTATTTTTTTACAACTTTCGACGCAGCATGGATGAACTTAATTCAATTTTTGGCGATGAAGCTCCATCAAGGACCATGTTAATCGATGGTATGGTGAATTCAATCGTGATCGTAGTTCACTCCAAGTCGAATTTCGCGAAGGTCGTCCAAAAACAGTTGATGTTCCGAAAACCATTGATGCTGTGCGTGAACTGATATTGCAAGATCGTCATGTGACCTATCGTGAGATTGAGACCTTACGCATTAGTTGGACCAGCATAGATTCAATATTTATGAACATTTGACTGTCAAGAAAATTTGTTCACGTTGGATCCCACACAATTTGTCAACCGTTCAAAAAAAGGCTCGTGTCGGTTGGTCGAAAGAAATGCTCAAAAAATACGATCGCAGTGCTTCGAAACACGTCTATGACATCGTGACAGGTGATGACTCGTGGATTTACGCGCATGAGCCCGAAAGTAAACATCAGTCGACTGTATGGGTGTTTCAAGATAAGCAAAATCCAACAAAAGTTGTTCGCGCACGAAGCACTTCCAAACAGATGGTTGCCTTTTTTTTTTTTTTAGTTTTTCGGAAAAACTGCACATGTTGCAACCGTACCACTAGAACAACGCAGAAGAGTCAATTCTGAGTAGTACACAACGATTTGTTTGCCAGCTGTCTTACAAGAAATCAGGAAAACCAACCGCCTAAGACGGATCACTCTTCACCCCGACAATGCGAGCTCTCACACATCGGCTCAAACAACTGCATTTTTTAGCACCCAAAACATCGATTTGATGAGTCATCCGCCGTATAGTCCTGGCTTGTCACCGAATGACTTCTTTTTATTCCCGTACGTACAAAACAAACTGAAAGGTCAACGTTTTTCGACACCTGAAGCGGTTGCTGCATTCAGAATACATGTTTTGGAGATACCTCAATCAGAGTGGCAAAAGTGCTTCGACGACTGGTTCAAACGCATGCAAAAGTGTATAGATCTTCATGGGGAATATTTTGAAAAACAATAAAGTGATTTTCGATGATTAATATTTGTTTTTGTTCTCTAATCCTGAAATCTAAAAGGCAACCCTTGTATTGCGTTCAATATGTGCATCCCAAAAAATATTAAAATCAAGAATTACACAAAAACGGCTCCAATTCTGTTTCAATCTTTTGGTAGGAATGGCTCTAATTGGCCTGTGTAAGGTGACATAAACGCTGTATTACTCTATCCTTTTGTTTCTTTTCAAAACTTACACGATTGTTTTTTACATTTCTCTCGCGTCCTTAATATTTACATTACCGGCAACTTGTATACATTATTGCGTTTGTGAGTACTCGTGCTTTAAATAATGTGTCATAAATAGAGAGTAGTATGAAACGTCAAAATATGTACATATATATGTAATGAAAACAGAAAAAATATTTAATAAATATGTAAAATAATGTAAAATATGTAATATTAAAATACACTAATTATAATACGAACATTTACATAATACAAAATTACATTTATAACAAAATACAAAATATTTTTAAAATAATACATACGTTTTTAAAAAAAAATTGCAGAGTACCAATTGACTGCTTTGTATCATACAACGTTCCCGTCAGTTGTAAAACCTTCATCTACTACTATTCAGTACGGTCGTTTAGTAGCCAGACTAGACGCAATAGCAACCATCCTGCAAAGTTGCGTTATCTTTGACCAGCAAACAATCACTGCATCGTTCAGCATTCTCAGCAAAGAGTTGCACGTTGACGATCGGCGAAGTTTCTCGAAAATTAAGGTTAAACTTCACGAGACGCAGCAGTGTCAGTGATACTTTTCACACCTGAAAGTGAAACTGATCTCATTCACTGACGCGCACTTCCCGCCACAGAGCTAACTGATTGCAGACGAGCGGACTGTGAGTACATCCTACCACGTCATGTAGTGAACCTCGAGTAGATAGCACGCAATAACAATGTAGGAAATAAGAGTGGTGTTTCATTTTTTTTCATAAAAAGGAGTCACAAAATTGATAGAATAAAAAACATTTTCTGAAAATAGCAAAAGATGTAATATAGTACTAAATATATAAAAATATAAAACGAAAAATTTTGATTGTGTTAGGACGACGTCGATGCGCCAAGATAAATTTTTTTAGATCGGTAAGTAGAAAAACAAAAAAATGTAATTACATGAAAAACCCGTCTTTACTCAAAGTTCCTCGAAAACTCAAATGTATTCTGAGAAATTGAGCTCGCAGTTCAGCATTTTCAGAAACCCTCAACTTAAGTTTCTTACAATTTTTCAACGAAAATGTCCATAAATGTCAAGGTTTTACATTTCTATAATATCCTTAAAGTCATGTTTCGGTTCTGTCATTAGGAAGCCGATAAATTGAAAAAAATGTGAAAAAATTATCTTTAGGTGGCAATGGATGATAGCTGGGAAGAGGGTGGAGTAAAACCAAAAATATAGCACAGAACAATGAAATAAGAAAACGAACTAGTTCGAGAAAGTCTGTGCCATTCTGTAGCATCACTAATTTTTATTTTATTTAATTTCGCAAATCACACTACTGGTGCTATAATTAGGGCAGACGTTCTCATATTCTCTATAACCCGAAGTATACACAATTCCCGAAACTCCTCCTCACGAGGTCTGTAATATTACCATAGCAAAGTTTAAAACAAATTGGAATTAACCTCTGTTGTTGCTCTGTTGTTGCTAATTTGTTCCGCAGAAAAAACTGTCGCTCTTCATTTGACCCTGCTATAACAATCGGCAAACTGCACATCAAGTTAGCACCGCAATTACGAGAAAACCAAGAAATTACAGAGATAAATAAAAATACATGAGAATATGTCACTTTTTTGTTGCTCAGTAATACCCAAAAATAATTTTGTTGCTCTTCAGATGACACCGAATACCGGAAATGCGAAATTTTGCGAAAATACCGGAAATGCGAAATTTGCCCTCTTTGCGGCGGGTGACGGTGAAAGAACGACTGTCCATCGCATATAGGTATCATGAAACAACAACCTACACCATGGTGGATAGGTTGACTCAGATGCGTAGAAAAAAATTAAGATTTACGGCCTCACATAAAATGAAGTTTCACAATTAATATAGTTCTAGGAGAATCAGAAGATTTTGAAGTGACGATAGCCGTTTCATGCATCATATCAATTTCATACATTTTACTTTCGTTTTTCTCCAATAATTCGTGCATATTATTACGACGGAGCCTTTTATTGCCTTCCTTTTAAGCATTCAATTTCTCTGCGCTTCTAGCCGCTGCGAAGGATTGGGGCGTGCAGGTGCTAAGAAGGGATTCTCACAGCCGTTGCTCTACTGGGACGGGCGCCAACAAAGAAGCGTCATTGCTCCGAACAGCCTATCTCCTCCTTCAAAAATATTTTTGATACCCGCAGTCTTACACGTCTACATACTGCCATTGTTCGAAAAAAAATCTCGCAGATTTGACAATTTTTGAGATTTGGACGAGGAGGGTACCAAAGGCAACATTTATTTATTTACGTGAAAAACAGTTAAAACTTCTATGTTGCGCTATAAGGAGAGCGGCCAAACTTGCGGGAAGAAGTTAATGAAGTTACATTTATGTTCAGAAATAAAACATGGGGGCAATCTCAGCATTTCTAAGGATCACTGACCCAGAATCCGAAGTACAATAATTGTTACAGGTACTTTAAAATTATTCAGTCCAAATGGTAAATATTATATTGCATGTCACTTAAAATTAATATTACGTTCTTTTTTTGGATGCTCGTAGTAGTATCTAATTGTTTTGAAACAGTTATACAGTAGAAAAGATTTTACTTGGGACTTAAATTTTTAATATTCAAAATTAAAAATCTCTCAAAGTCCATCTGCCTTAGAAATCTCTAACATATTCACGGGTGGAATAATTTGATTCGATAATAATAGCGCGCTATTACACTTTTTTTCCAAATTTGTTCGAAAGTACGAATACATTTTTAAAATTAGCTTCAGCAATTTTACTTGGGGAAACGAGAATCACAGTATGAATTCTATTAAGGAGTCAAACGCCGTTTTGAGATAAAAAACAGTCGTAGAATAAAAGTGCTCGTACGTAATATCTGCTCATTCTTTCCTGTAAGGGAATGATAAACGGAAGATCTTAAAAATAAAATATATGTAAAATAACATGTGAGGAGATAGAATATTCATGGTATTACACAATTAGTTCTATTTTCTTTTTGAAATCAGTTCCAAATTGGAATCGATACTTTGAGTAATGCCACAAACAATTTTATGGTTGTTGTGTATTCAGGAATAACCAAGGAGGAAAGCGCAACAGTAAACTTAACAGCTGTCTTTAATTTTCCACCAATCCAAAATACAAGAATAACCGGTACAAGTCAAAAATCAGTCCTTTCAGAATATGTCCCAATTCACCGCGTAGTTCAACCAAGCCTCCAGAGAAACCATACGTAACTTCGCACAGTACTTCACCACTATCGGGGCACAGCGTCGCACAACCACTTGCACCAACTGAGTACGATTGTACTCTCTGCCTTAACCGGGAGGGCACGCGGTTTTATAGAACTAAAGCCATCGGAACGAGTCTTGGTCTTCCTTTCTAGACTTGCCCGGGCGAGTAGCAAAAGGGGTGGATTGCCGCGTCACGTTCCTGCCTGCTGATCGTCCGGCCGCCGCGGTTGACCTGCCACCAGGCGGCGCTTTCCCGCAACTCTCATTCTGCCGAGCGCCGTCGCCGGGGCCGCCACGCTGCGCTCGACAGGCCGGGCGGGCGTCACAGCAGGCGTTACAGCACCATTAGTTCGACATGTGTGTGTTTGTGGGGGGGGGGGAGAATATATGCAAAAGCCAAAGCCAGATGCCAAAAGCATAAACCGACTGTTTGGCTTGCCTGTCCCGCAAGTTTGGCCTCCTTTGCCGGGACTTGCCGCACGCCTCGATCGAAAATCGGACCATTGGTTCAGACTTTATCGGTAAAATAAATTCCTTTGTGACTGCTGCGATCTATTGAATTTTCCTAGAAGTATTTTTCGCCTTAATAGGTTGACATTAATGATGGTCGATTCATTTTACAAGATGATGAAGCAGAAGATTCGGTATCAAAGAGGACGATCAAACAGACTAACAAGATTACCGTTTGATAATGAATAGGATACTTATACGACAGTGGGTTAATGTTTTATTATCACACGAACACGTTCTTTTATAAGTATTATAGCAATATAAACACTTTTACACGTTCACTATGATCGAAAAACTGGGAACACTGCCAATCGACGGTATATATCTCATTCATTATACAGTTTAGAATTTCCTGCACCCTTTTTATTAATATAATACTAAAGTTGGAAGTGGAGTGCGCATCTATGTACTTGCAAAATACCGATGATACGTTTGCCACACGCGGGACCGCCTGCTAAAGAGTAGAAAACCCGCAAAACACGAAAATTCAAAACGAATAGACTTGCAAGTAATGAATGTTTAACAATGCCGATTTAAATACTGACATTTTTAATATATTCACATACAACTACAAAAATTAATACATTGAAAATTAACTCTAAATTAAGAATTAAATTTAATGTTTTGTTGCAAATATACAATTTGATACACACTCCTGTGGCGTCGTTAACACGAGGGCCAGAACCGTTAGGTCGGTGAAAGTACGCTGCGGGGGAGGAAGGGGTTGAGCCTGAACATCCGGGAGTTTGCGCTCGGGCGGTTGACTCAGGTAGTGCCGCAGAGCCAAAAATACCGGAGGCTGTAAACTCCGAGGATGCTGCCGGCGAGCCTCGTTTACGGAAGCAGGCAGCCAACCTAAGAACCCTGCGTGTGGGCGTTAACCAAACCTGCGAGTCTCGCGCCAGCCGGCGAGCCTACCTATGGAACAGTGGTGGGGGTGTCAGCCTCAACTATTTAACGCGGCGCCATCTGCGCCCGCGCTCTCATTCAGTTTGCATCGGGGAGCTTGTACGTGTGTGTACGAGGAAGTGTAGGAGTGGGCGAGATGTCCGGAGAGTAAGGGCCAGACGATCTCGCGTGCTGTAGGCACACGGTCGCCACGACCGGGTTAAATTTTGGCGTCAGGCCATGTGACGGTAATTGTCACGGGACCGAGGTCCGACAGCGCGCATCACGCGTGGCTTGTGTTTTCTGCGGTAAAGCAGTGTTCTGAAAGGAAAAGGTTGCCGGAGTATTTTAATATTAGCAATTCATTGTAACTTGTAAATAATCTTTGAATATATTATTTTTATTTTGTTATTGAAATTTATTTCTTATTTCACTACGTCACACTCCACAATAGTATCGCCAGCTCTTCTAAATATCCACTACTACGCATAAATTATAAACATTGGTATCGTTGTTACTGCGTCATTATTTAAATAACTAGATACTCAGGCAACTAAACATGCAACATGCAAACAAGGCAAACACACGGCGCAGTCAGTGAGGTGCAGCGTGTGTGTGTGCGCAGGGCCCGCGTCGCCAACGCGCCCCAAGTCCCTGGCCGCGCCTGCACCCTCGCCCTCCGCGGCCGACGCCCCGCTGGCGCGCGCGATCTACGCCTACCTCTCCTCGGGCGACAACCAGCTCAGCTTCCTGGAGGGCGACGTCATCGCTCTCATCGGTACGTAACTTTGCCTTCGGCCTCTTCGTCAACTCCCTCTGGGAAACCTCGTGCGCAACACTGGCAGCAAGGTGATTGACCTCACTTTCCTTGTTTGTAGTGTATCCAATGGTAACTAAAGTATCATATTATCCAAAATTCGAATTAATCAACAAGGTTATTTTTAAATTAAATATCCTGTCCCGACTGTCTGGGTCTTCTAATGAAACGTAAATTTGTAATATCGGTTTAAATAAGATTGGCAACGGAGGTATTTACTTTGAAAAGTCGAATATTTATTATAATGCAATGTGTAATTAATCAGAGTTCAGTGAATAACAATATCGTTCAAAGACGCGTCCTACCTTAGTCACTCCACCCACAAATGGATATGTTAAAATTGTGAAGAAAAATTGTGTATGTGTTCATTACGTTGTGCGTAAGTTTATTTAATACGATTTCTAATTCTTATTAACACTCACAAATACTAAAATACCTTCAGGGATTATTAATACAATGAAAATTGTGTTTGAATACTAGAAAGAAAAGTCAACATATAAATTTTTAAAAAATTGTTTTGTAGTGATAATTGAGAATAAGTCTGAAATTTTTGTAGACGTTGATTCTATTTGCAAGCGCGCTCTTCTGGAGGGTTATCTTGTTTTGCCTGCCCTGCTGTGGTGTCGCTTTGATCACCGTTGGCGCGTTGTGTCATGAGGTGTCCGTTGCAGGTGAGCGCAACAAGGGCTGGCAGTTTGGGGAGAACCTGCGTACACAGGCCAGCGGCTGGTTCCCCCTCGCCTACACCGAGTTGCTGCTCGACGAGCCCTCAGAGTGAGTAGAATGTTCTCTTTCCTTCGTGGCTCCTTTAATGTCTCCATTAGCACAATTTGTCAAAAAATGTATGTTTAAGAATTATATTCTCACTAACTCGTAACGATTTGTAGAAAGCAGTCTATATGTCTATATTGCATCTAAAAATTTGTACAGAAATGACTGATGTACTGGAGTAGTAAATTAAATTTGGAAGAGTTAACATACTATTTTATAAATTAGCTACCATCAATGCAAATGTCACTTCACCTTATTCTCTATTTATCGCATTAGTCGGACACCGATGTAATTTTCAATTTATTTATTCGTCAACATATCGTATCACTTTATTATCAAAGAATTGTTTCATCGTCGTATGTTTAAATAAAATTTCCATTCAATCGTGCTCATTTGCCCAATCGCCCTCTACTAGGTCTTCCATTCATTTCTTCTGCCCATTCTCGTTTTTTTCAGCCACTCTGTCTTTTTATTCATCACATTCTAAAAGATTATTACATTTCTTGAAGTACTGACTTCTTACTCTAAAGAAGTTAATAATAATGTTGCTGATAGTAATATCCAGCGGAGGGTGATGCCCCTGAACCAAATACAAATTCACCAGAAAACTTTCTATGAAACGGAGTAAATCTGCAGTTCCATGCGGTGATTTACATTCGACAATGATAATATAACCTTCATCATTGTAAATAATATAAATATTTTATTTTATGTTAATAATGACATATACCCTCCGCTGAAGGGCAACAGCAGCACTAAATTTATTACCTTGTGTTCAGTAAGAGATAAATGTTTGAGTATGTTTTCACTTTATGAGTATTTGTTCACTGATGCGTTAAAGTATGTTTCATATGTTTTATGTGTCATGTTTTATATGTACTGCAATGTATTTATTATTTATTACATAATGTATTACATTATTTTTATAAACTAATGATAACTAATTAGAAAACATTGAAAAATAATCACATAAATGTAGTGTGTGTTACGTCATTGCCATGCCGCCTGTTGTCCCATAGTTCTCCACGTCGCGGGCCCGGCGGTGGAGGCGGCGGGGGCGAGTGGGGCGGCGGGGTGGCGTCGCGCACCAACGGCCTGCACGGGGCGTCACCAGCCTCCTCCTCGTCGTCGTCGGGTGCCACGGGGCAGCTGGCCGGTAAAGCGCCCGTCACCATGTTCGGCGACACCCTGCTCCTCCGCGCCACTTCCCGCAAGGTAGGCTGCTTTGCACACACACACACACCCCTCTTCCCCCGCTTCTCTTGGAACAACCGGATGTCATTAACGAGAAAGTGAAAAATAATTTAAGTAATATTTGTTTGTTACCGCTAGTGATGAGAAAATTATGATTTGATATTGCTAAAATAATTATTGTGGCATGTTCAATGTACGAGAGCGAAAGTGAGAGTCTTTATATTAATGTATTTAAATTAATCCGGACGTATTTATCAAGAAAGTGCTGAAATGCGGAATTGCTCATGACAAGAATTAATCCCATTTATCTATTCCCTGCGATTTTAAAGAAAAAATAAATACATAAATATATTCACTGTATGAATATTAAAGATTTTACCTGAACCTTCAGACTATTGAATTACTTGCAAGGAATACTTGACGTAAGAAAAGAAAAAGAAAAGTCTCAAGAATGTTTTCTGTATATGTTATCTGTATCTTTGTTTTATTCTCCCAGGAATGTCGAAAGCGGGTTCTCATCGGAATGCATGTAATGTTTCACAAAATAATATTTAATTTTGAAAGTTTGCAATATTGTATTCGTAGACGTGTAGTTATCCATTTTCGCTCATTTCTCCTTGTAATATTGCTGATCCAACATTTTGAACTTCCGATCTGATGCATTAATTGATGAGCATTTCCTTGAAATTTCATTCCCAAACACCTTTTGAGTCACAGAGTCGTCCCCAATTTGCACAATTTATTGGCAACCTCTCGTCAACAGATGATGGCGCCTAATAACTCGCTTATTGTATTCGCCTAAGTAATTAGTAACTTTTTAATATAGTCCACATAACAATAAATATGTCAATCGCAAAGATATCGACTTCTTCATAAGAGCACACTTCCGGGAATTTTTTTCGGGAACACATCCGAGTCAAAACCTTGACCGAAGTATGTAGTATGCGCGTAATATAGAGGCAGTCTACCTACAATTATGCACACGGTGTAATGAAGTATACACTTGGTAAGGGATCCATGGTGTTCCTTACATCAAGAATATGCCATTTTCCCCTTTTGCAATTAATTCAATATAAGTGCATTCAGTAGTACAGGTTTATTAATGTACTGTTCACTTTCTGTATATTTACGTACGTGAATTTCTATACATTCAACATATTAACCGAAAACTGGAACCTGTTGTATTCTATTTGTTCCATCTGCAACGTGTGCCATCAAATTGCTGGTTGACTAGTGACTAGCAAAGTAGCGCTGTGGGAACAAACAGCTAGTGGCTAGTTGAACCTAAATACTTAGTATTCACTAGCGTGTTAGTGATTTTAAAAATGTTTCATTACACCAGCTGCAAGTTGTAGAAAGAATGTTAAGTAATCGACTTGATTGCCATCGACTATGTGCACCAACACAATACTCATCCTGTATGAACCTTTGAAACATGCCACTTGGAGAAATAAGAACACGATAGACAAGAGTATGTTCAGTAACTCGCCACTCGCTGTGTCCTTTGCTGATCCTTTGAAAACATGTAGGCCCTCCGAACGCTAGCACTGATTAAACTTACCCCTTCAGAACCGTCACGAACCTGCTATTAGATTTTGCTAGCACCATTGGCTAGCTACTCAAGCACAGTGTGCACACACACACACCTGTACCCTGGCTTCCCGTGTCAGAGCATGAGTCAAGGAACTTGACACATGGTATGCCCTCACTGTGCGCGTGCGGTCGCAGGCGCCACGTTGGGACAGCTACTTCTGCTTAAGGCCGCGCAGGCTCGCGGGTGGCTCCCCGCCGCGCCGAGCAGCCCTGCGCCCGCTCCAACCCCCACGCAGCTGCCGCTGCCGGTGCCCGGGCCGCGCGTGCCGCCGCACCCGTTGGCGCAAACGCTGCCGGCGGCGGCACGCGCGGCGCGGGCGGCGGGCGGCGCGGCGCGGGCGCGGCGCGGCGGCGGTGCGGCGGGCGCCGGGGTGGTGGGGCCGCCACCCACGCCGCCACCCCTCACGCTGCTCGGCGGACAGCAAGCAACGCGCGGCCGCCGCCGCCGCCGGCGCTGGCGCGCACAGCACCGGCAGCCTGCACAGCAGCAACGACAGCGGCTTCAGCAACGAGCGCCGCCACCGCAACCGGAGGTGGACTACTCGGACGACGAGGGCACCAGTGAGGCGGGTGCCTGCCTGCCTAAGGGCGAAGGGACAGCTGCGCGATCAGGACTAATACACTCGGTGCAATTTGGTTTTCTTTGGATTTGAAGAAAAATCTAATAAAATGTTGGAAGTGTTAACATCTTTTCTTCTGTTGGCTTGATGGAGTCCTCCTTACTAATCTGAAAAGCATTTAACGGAACTATTTTTGCCTTATATTTTCGAAAATTTAAGGTATAGCTAGTGAAAGAAAAATCCTGGATTTGCATCAAGACTGTCAAAATGCATTCGGTGCTTACTACATCCTCCAGTTCAGAATTTTGTATCAATATAACTGACAAAGTCATAATACTCGTACCTTACGCCTCAGACTTTTAATTTACGAGTAAAAAGATATATACTGAAATTTTTGTTTGATAAAATGATTTTTTTTCAAGCATTCTCAGGAATGTCATTCTATAAGCGAAAATATATTTTGAGTGAATGGAAAAAAGTTACATAAAATAGAGGATCATGAACTAAGCATATAAAATATTGTTAATATCTTCCTAATCTATAATTTTACTGTGATTGCATCCCAGTCTGTTCGCTTTGGAAGATGTACGAAGGCATTACATTCAGTTGACTTCATTCATTCATTCATTCATTCACTTCGTTCATTTTGTCGACTTTTCGGACGAGTGAATAGTATTATCAGCACGTTTAGTATTCATTACAATATCCACAATACGAATATGATTTCCATTACTCTATGAGGAAGATTGGTTCCACTGTGCCGCCTATTCCCACTAGTTCTTTCTGTTAATATAATTAGAATTACAAACGAGGCAGTTTCTTTTTAGCGTTAATAAAATTATATTTCATTATTGAAATAAATTCCATTCTTTGGTTCGTGAGATAAAGTTCTGGACATCTAAAAGAAAAGCTTAAGATAAAAAATTATTTTGATTCGAAAATTAAGGTATATTGAAGGAACTAATAGGCAAGAATACTTTTCAGGCTATCGAATTACGGCCATATAATGTAACAAAATAACATCAACATTAAAAAACAAATAAATAAATTAATAAGATAGTGACCGACTGCGATACAAGCTAATCTACTTCCCATTTCAAGGTTTCCCATTGGCACCTAATGAATCTTTCTTATTTTGCATCTTGTGGTGAATATCTTTTCTTTGTTGTTACTAGTAGCACAATTTTCGGTTGGAATTCTACATTAATTCTACATTAACACCTTTTAACAAACACTGTGGCTAACAAGGTATTTGTGGTATCAACAGCTAACATCTTCATCTTTCTCTTCTTCTGGCAGGTGGCTAAAGGTAAGATATTTTTTCTCAATAAATATCCTTCTTGTCGGCATATAGGATGTGTAGTATATTCAGTAGAACCGCTCATTTAAGACAGACGATCACACGGCGAAGGTTCGAAATTCCAAAATCATTTGAGTAAAAAAAGAGCAATTGTCTGTGACTACCGGAATATTGCGTGCCACTTGCATCGACATTTGTAGGTGAAAAGTGCCTAGAATGAAGTACCTTCCGAACAGCTGACCAATAGGTAATTTTGTAAATAAATTAACATTTCACAATTAATTTTTTTATTTAAATTCGATTGCAGGAACATTACTAGTACTTTCTCGCGCTGTATTAACTTCAAAATTTCCCATTGAACCTACTTCAGTATTGTTGAGGTCGAGTCATTCGCTTCAGACCAATACGTCATACTTATATAATACTTATAGTCATAGTTAATCGCTATTTTCTCGCTCCAGTTATTAACCAAGTGTTTGCTTTAGAATATAAATTACTCGCCGTGTGTAATTCTTCATTTTCATTTCCGTTTATTGTGGTTATAAGTAAGTGTTTCGAAGTCTGTGTATCCGTTCACAACACATAAGAATAAATCTAAAATTCTATTTCGAAAGAATAGAGGGTTAATTAGTTTAACACACATATAGTATAATTCTCTCTGAGCCAGTGAAGTGCAAACATTTTATCTTCCGATAAGTGAGATAGCGGGTGGGGGGGAGAGATCCTCTATACACTTCCTGAGAACGAGCTTCCTCTGCCGCAGCCCCAACCGCGCGACGACGGCCTCGCCCTCCAAGAAGAAGCTGCTATCGTCGGTGCGCGGCTGGCTGCTGTACAAGTCTGCCCTGGACCTGTGGGACGACGTGAACCAACAGCAGCAAGCGCCGCTGCAGCCCTACGCCATGGCCACGTTGCCGCCCAAGAAGAGCGCTTTAACAGGATCAGCGGGCGCGGGTTCAGGTCCGCGGCCCGGCGCCCTCCGCCAAGCGTCCAGCGTGGGCCACTTGGCTACGCTGGGCCGCCTCTCGCTGGCCAAGAGCGCGTCGGCGTCGCAGGACGCCCTCGCGAGTCCGCGCGCCCCGCCCGCCCCCGCGCCACCGCCCGCGCCCGCCCCGGCCCCCGATCCCGCGGCCGGGGACGGCTTTAGCGGGTCGCTCATCAAGCGCAGCAAGTCTCTGTGGAAGCTGGTGCGCCCCAAGGACAACCTGCTGGAGGGCATGTCGCTGTGGCAGCACCGCTCGCTGGTGGATGTGCCAGCGGCACTGGAGGCGGAGGCGGCGGGTGGTGGAGGTGGCAAGGAGCGCAGCCTGCCGCGCACGCCGCCGCGCGCGCCCTCCGCGCCCGTCTCCACCCGCGGGCACGCCCACACCCGCCCCGCCCGCAGGGACGACCACGACGGCCTACTGCTGCCGCGCCAGTCGCTCTCCTCGGAGGCCGGCGGCCCCAGCTCCACGGCCAGCACCGCCAGCGACGGCGACAGTGGCGGCGACTGCGAGTCGTGCCTCGTGGTGGACGACCACCTACGCGCGGCGTCGCTGCAGCGCATAAGGGGCGGGGCCGCGGGTGCGGGCGGGGCAAAACACCAGCAGCAGGGCGCGGCGGCGCGCAAGGTGCGGCGCGCGCAGCTCGACGGAGGCACCAGCCCCGACAGCGACGGCCTGCTGCACTACGGGCGCACGCTGCAGCAGCGCATGCGCAAACCCGAGCGCGGATCGCGCTTCGACCAGCGCTCCGAGACCACGGGCAACCGCTGCGGGCCCTGGTACGACCTCTGGGGTGCGGACGCCTCCGTCAGACGTTGATCCGTGGATTGGGTCAGCGAATGACATGCTACCACGCATACGTTTGGGGCATTATACCATGTGCTCACAAAACTCCTGCTGATGCAATTTTCAGATGTTGACTGTGACATTCCGTAAGAGTTTTGTTGCAATTCCCAGAACATTTTATCCAAAAGCAGAATGTCAGTCTTACACAGGGATGTCAGAAATCTTTATGGATGTGGTAATTTTGACTCATTGACAATGAGTGGTAACAAAAGCCATTGCAACCGTTAATCTGTTCTCTGTAGGGATGAAAAGCTCTAGGATGATCGGCACTTAGGTTTGCATGCAGACTACCACTGGGTGATCGAAACCTTGGCAACCTGCCTACCATGTGAAGGCATCCAGTCAGCTAAAATCTGCGTGAAACTAGCGGAACTGGCAGACGAACTGCCCTTCTCTCTCTTTCATCTTCCTTCACTCTTTCTCTCCCCGTCTCTCTCTCCGGTCTCTTCCTCCGTCTCTTTCCGGTCTCTCTCCTCGCTTCTCCCTCTCTCTCCTCGTCTTTCCCTCTCTCTCCTCGTCTCTCCTCATCTCTCCCTCTCTCCTCTACGTCTGCCACTCTCTCTCTCTCTCTCTCTCTTTGTCTCTGATTCTCTCTCCGCATCTCTGTCTCCATGTCTGTCTCTGTCCTTCCAGACGAAATTTCTCAATCGCAGGAGCATAATATGCAATGACGACGACGTTCGTACTTCAGCCTGCGGCAGGTTGAGTAGAGCGTCCTGTTCAGGGGGGCTTGATTCAGCATATAATCATAATTAACGCGCGTCTATGTGTAGAGGCATATGCACATTCCCATCGTACTAAACTTATATGTTACTTTCCACAAGTCCAAGCAATAAGTAGACAAAGTTTTATTACAATTGGATGAACGGTACAGGAGCGCATTAAGTACGAACCAACAAACATTGTTTCTTTGTATATTAGATAACGCCATTTTTTTCTCATTGAAAGTTTATTAATTTTTTCTGCATTTATCGCACTATTTTTTTATTTTAATTCACACTAAGTGCTCATTCCAGGAACACAGTTCGCTGTGGGATCCTTTTTCGAACTGTTGCACTGAAACTGCTATGTAGGTCATTTAAATATCTGCAAATGAAAAAATAAGGTTAAATTCTTTCGTCTGACATTATTACGTTTTACACCAATCCGCTCGCACAACAAATCTACAAACAAGCTGTAAGTTAAGTTCATCCACTTTGGGATTATTTTGGTGAACATTCACACTTGGGTTGGATCTTCGGATTAGGGCAAATCTTAATTGTTATTGTCTTTATTCTGGAATTTATTCTTAGGAACACCCTTCCTTATGGATCTAGCTTTTCAGAAGTAACGACTCTTTGAATGGCCGCTTGGACTAAAATGTTATTGTGATTTATTATTATTATTATTATTATTATTATTATTATTATTATTATTATTATTATTATTATTATCGTCGATATAGTTTCCACCCGTCATAAATACTCGTTTGTTTCATGGTTTGATGTTTTATTTGTTTGCGAACTCCTCTGTTCCCAATGTCCAAATTTATGAAGTGCGAAAAAATGCACACGATGCTCTTGTACCGATCAAAGATCGTTGGCCTTATTTGTCGACTTGACCAATGAAAAATCCGAAGTGACTTTCTCCTTCTCTATCCGCATCACCCCAAAATTCCAGAAAAAAATTGCCATTTCATCGTTCGAAACAAATCCGCTGTGAACTTTGTCAACATCGCTTAGTCTAACTTGGTTGAAGAGCTTACACTTACAAGGAGGCATTCAGGCTAGGAAATTCAGAATTAAAGAAACTGAGTGGAAGTTATCCTTCATAAAAGTTCGCGTTTTCTTAAGTCGGTGACCAGATATTTTGGAGAAAAGCGTGCTGCAAAATCACGTACGGCCGGTCGACCTAACAGAGGGCAAATTGAGCAAGCACTGTCAAATTGTAGTGTCCCCGTCGGCAGAGAGCTTATTTATGGATAAACAAATCAACAACAAAACAATCGCGCACTTTCGTTAATCCTTTGCTTGGGAAAATAGGTAGAAAGAACTTGTAGAACGTTATAAAGCGCTCGAAAATATCATCGCCCTGTTTATCCATAAGCAGCGAATGCTGCGGATGCTTATCCGCAGCCAAAATGAAGATCTACCTCCTGATCGAATTTCATTTAATATCGCATTACCAAATTCTGAATTCCTCATTGTTAGTAATATTGTGAACTTATTTTTTGGACATGTGATTCCCAACTAACGCACGGTTGTGTTGTGGTTTTTTGTTTTGTTTTTTTTTATTTTATTTTATTCTTTTTTTTTTACATCTGGACTATTCTGTCACTTAATTACACTTAAGAATTTTTCTATGTAGTACATAGAAACCTACGCACTGTGCTTCGAAATTCCGTTGATGTTCAAACCAATCCTTTTATGCCCTGTATGTTGAGTAAGTAAAGTCGCATAGCAAGACAAAAGCAATAATTGAATTAGCTGTCAATATTCTTTTAATTTTACGATTTGGTAGTTGTAATAATTTAAAAACTAATTCAATTGATTTTCTCAATTTTTTGGACTTCTTTGCCCCCCTCTCTTCTGGTTGAACGTAGCTCTCTTAGCACATCCCACAGAGCCACCGATTCTGGTATGAAACATAGCAACGTTAACTTATACAGTTTTGTTTCAATAATGGGCCCACTAAAACTCGCATTTACTTGAGCGGTTTATTGCTGTTTGTTATTGAAGTACAGGCTTACTCTTTGTTTTTGAGATATTAATCTATATACTCCATGCCTTAGAAAGTATACAACGTTCAATTCACTGATTCTGTAAAGAATGTAAAACTGTAAACGCAGTTGACTGTTTAAGCATTCACAATTGTTGACTTCCAACAATTTGTGATGAGATTCTTCCAGTTGTCTGAAAATTTGAATCCCAGATCTCAAGATGATAAAAAATAATTATTGTTTCAGTATCAACAAAATTGAATAATATTTATATATTTTTTTAACTTTGCCAAGATAAGTATTATTTATTAAATATTCCTGTATATATTTCCAATAACAAAATACTACAAACGCAAAAGTATCAAAACTTCAATACCATATTATTCCAGGAATTATATATTATTTTAGTACTGTAAGGAATTTTATTTCTTATGTTCTTACAATAAATGTAAGACCATTACTTTAATCCTACATCTTCATTGATATCTTCATTTTTAATCCCAGTATTCAATAATTGACATTTTTATATGGGTTTTGCCAGTGGTTTATTGGATTCTTTATTTAGTAGATACTTATGTAAATATTTGTAATTACTTCAATGTAGTACATTGAACTCTGAATGTTACACAAGTTAGTATACTGAAGAGAATCAAGCAAGATAAAGTAAGTCTAATATGTGATGAGAACAACACAATATAAGGTACAGAGAATGATTTTGCAATATTATTTCCTGTAAAAACACATTGTTATTCATTTTAATTATAGAAGATGTGGTATGATTAATTAAAAATAATAATTATTTAAAAAGCACATTCATGTTTGATAATTTCCAGCACCATATTATAGTGGATACATTAATTGAAGTTTTAGAACTTTTATGTAGCAATAGTATAATATTAAGGTAATAAGCAAACATTTTCAAAAATGATGAGTTAACTGATGAGGGAGTATTTAACCTTCTAGATGGCATCTACTTGTGAATTAATTACCCTAGTATTCAACTTTGTTGCAGCATTTTATTAATTAGTTTGTTTACTTCTATTAATTTCTGTGTATTTTTCATTTTTTACAATTATAAGAATACATTGTGTTCAAAAATGGAAGATAGTCTGTCTTTGCATTCTTGTAGATTAACACTTTTTGCTCTTTGTTCAAAAATTTGTATCTACTTACTGACTGCAGCATTCAATTTGGAATTTATTGAATGTATCAAGAACTAAAAATGTAATTTATAATCAGGTAATAATGATAAATTTGTTCTCTTAATATATTCAGCAGAAGTTTTATTTATCTCAAAACCCTCATGATTTATTTTTATTTGAATTAACAATTAGAGGACAATCAAATGGGTCAATGACTCCTAATTGGCAGATAGTAAATAGTTTGATATTTTTTACAGAGAACCTCTCAGGCCATTCTTTTCTATACCTAAGCCATACAATTCAACTTTGCTTCAAAACACAACTGCATTTACCTAACTTTTTAATTCTAATGTTAGCATTAGGCACTGTTGTCCTAAAAATTATTCTTCATTAAGTTTGTCTGGTTTATCATTGTCAGATATTCAAGTAATTTTCTCTTCTTGGGAACTTCAAGATCATAAAGGGATAAAAGTTTCAAAAATGAAATAACTTCAAATTTCCTCAACAACTTTTTTCAATGAATTTCCTAATAATTGAATATTTTTGTACAAGTGCATTACTCTTAAATAACTCATTGAAAAAATAGTAAATATTCAAAATTCATGTTACAATGAAATGTTATTTTTCTGGATTTTTACCTCTTTTTTCGACACTTGATTTGATTTGATGATGATGATGATGATGATGACAATGACGATGATTGCAGTGAAGAAATTAATTTTACTAGAGTAGATTTTCCAAGGTATTGCTAATGAATCAAAATATTTATTTTTTCTACTCTTAAGACTTCCAATGGCCCTCAGTCATTCTATAAAATATTTACTACTTTGGATTTCATTTTCAGATAAATTAAAATGCAATAATTTATTATGTAAGGGCAAGATATATTCAATAATTTTTTTAATGTAATACAATGTGTTTTATTAAACAAAACTTTTTAAGGCATTTTTGTGATAAATATTAAAAAATACAAAGCTTACTCTTAATAGTGTTCCACAAATAGTATATTATTTTTAAACTTAATTGTTTATTAGTTCATTAAATTTCAATTTTACAAGTTAACAATATCTACAAATATTCATGTTTTGCAATGATTTTTTTAAGAAACAAAAATCCATAAAGTAAACATAAAA